CTGGTTTGAGTTGGTAGATTGTTTGAATTTGATGAATTAAAGTCGAAGGGTTGTTTTCGGATTAATGGAAATGGTATCATGAAATGTCGGGATAGAGTTTGTGTTATAGATATTATTGAGTGGAATAAGAGTATTCTTGAAGAAGGACATTGAGGTAGATGGGGTATCCATCCCGGTGCTATGAAGATGTAACCAGATTTGAGGAAATTATTTTGGTGGCCATAGATGAAGAGAGAAGTGGTTGAGTTTGTATATGCTGGTTAAACTTATCGGAAGTCAAAGATTGAACATCAGAGACCGCTGGGTCTGATGCAACTATTGAATATTCCAGATTGGAAATGGGATAGCATTTCCATGGATTTTGTGTCGGGTTTTCCAAAGAATTTGAAGGGATATGATTTAATTTGGGTGACTTTGGATAGATTGACTAGATCAACTCATTTTATACCAATGAAGATTAATCATTCTATGTTGAAGCTAGCTGAGATGTATACTGAGGAAGTTGTGAAGTTGAATCAGATACCGTAGAATATCGTGCCTGATAGAAATCTGAGATTTACATTGAGATTTTGGGAGAGTTTGCAGACGCTTTGGGTACCATGTTGAAGTTGAACTCTGCCTATCATCTGCGGACGGATGGACAGACAGAGAGAACTACCCAGTCTTTAGAGGATTTGTTGAGAGCTTGTGGGTTGGATCAAGGTGGATCGGGGGATAGTTAGTTACCGTTGGTTAAGGTTACCTACGATAATAGTTACCATTTTAGCATCGGAATGGCACCGTATGAGGCTTTGCATGGTATGAGGTGTAGGACTCCTTTGTATTGATATGAGTCAGGCGAGAGTGTTGTACTTGGACCTGAGATTGTGCAAGAAACGACTGAGAAGATCAAGAGGACCCAAGAAAAGATGGATGTTTCGCAGGGTCGTCATAAGAGTTACCATGATAAGAGGGGGAAAGCACTTGAATTTCAAGAGGAAGATCTCGTGTTTTGAGAGTTACGCCGGTAACTACTGTTGGTTGAGCTTTAAAGTCTCATAAGCTCACACCGTGCTTTGCTGGTCTGTATCAGAATAGCGCAGCGGGAGCGTGGGGGGAAGTACCATGCTAGACTATTTTATCGCTGTCGCTTGTGAAATTACATGATGTGTTTCATGTGCCTAAGTTGAAGAAGTACATTAATTCAGATAGATGATGTACAAGTGAGAGATGATTTGACTATTGAGGTATTACTAGTTCGGATTAGTGAACGAGAAGCAACTTTGAGATAAAGAAATTGCCTTAGTAAAGGTAGTTTGAGAGGACCAACTAGAGAAAGTTGGATTTGGGAGTGTGAAGATCAGATGAGGGAATCGTATCCGACTCTGTTTACTTGAGGCAATTTTCGAGGGCAAAAATTCTTTTAAGTGGGGGAGAGTTGTAACACCCCAAATTTTAATTGGAATATTTTAATTAATTGATTTAATTGAGAATATTCGATTTCGGTGTTTTTCGGTGGCTTTGTGAATTATTGAGGAATTATGCTTTGTGGAGTATTTATTTTGGAATAATAGTATGTAATATGAATTTATTAATATTATTGTGAATTAAAATAAATATAGGAGGAATAAGAGTAATTTGGGCATTTGGAGGAATTAGTAAGGGTAATGAGGGAAAAGCCCAATTGTGTGGCCCAAGACTAAGTTTGACAAAATAGAATTCTGAAGGTTTAGGATTCATTTTGTTAACCATGAAAAGAATGGAGGCCAAAGCTCCGACGAAGGAGAAGTGGAGGCAAAAGCTTCGAAAGATCCCGGAGATAATCGTGAAAGCTTTGAATCGACTAAGGTATGGGGAGTATCGCTTTTCATGATTTTCTATGTATGTCTTTCGGTGTGTTTATGGTGGAGTTAAGATTTAAGGTATTTTGGGTTGATTTGGCAGAATTAGGGAAATTGATGATAAGACTCTGAGATTATGGCTAATGGTATGTATCACTGAATATTGATATGAGAAAGAAAACCTTAGGCCTTTGTGGCCAAAACCTTTGATGGTTGTATGTTTGCCCATAGGGGATAGGATAGTTGATATTTGAAATTATGATGCCTTCAGAGCAATTGTAGGGAAATGGTGATTTAGGACATGAATAGGTTCTGGGATTGGCCTAATAAACCGTAGGTTTCGTGCCGTTATCGCCGTATTACCTTAGGGATGATTTAGGGATGTTTTGGGGCCATTGGGTACGTGAATCGTATGAGTATTTGGGTAAAAATCAGTTCTGGTCGTAGCAGATTTTTGCAGTCATCGCACTGTTCGCCTAGCGAGCATGCCAGCGAAGACTCGCCACAGACTCGCCTAGCGAGCATGCTAGGGAACGTAGCAGAGTTTCACGAAATTGATTGTGTGCAGCGATGCCGTGATGTTTGATTCTGAGATTTATGAGATGAGTTAACATGAGTATGACAGTGAGGAATTATGTGATTGATAGGCGATAGTGTGAGGATTACCGCGAGTGTAATTTGATGAATTGATATGAGATAATATGGGATAATATTATGAATTAATAGGAGATAATATGGGGCAGTATTATGAATTAATATGTGATAATATGTGATAATATGATGGACTAATATGAGGATGACTATGAGCTAATATGTGATTTGTACGTGATTATATGACGATTTCCATGATGTGTGATGATGATGATTTATGTGATGGTGATGATTATTATTATTATGACGAATTATGTGATAACATGAGATATGATGATTTATGTGAGGATGATGATTACTATGATGAATTATGTGATAACATGAGATATGATGAATTATGTGATGATGATGATTATTATGATGAGTTATGTGAGATATGACGATTTATGTGATGATGATGACTATGTTGATGAGTTATGACGTATGATGGATATGATGAATATAATGAATGATGATGCACCTATGATGTTATTATGAGGATGATTTGTGACGTGTGCATCATGCATTCATGTGCATCCGGACTTCGGTTCAAGACCTCGATTACTTTGGCTTCAATCCCATTGTGCGGATGTGAAGTATTTTGATATGCTCCAATTCTCTAGTAGAATCGATCCTATTGATGGGGATATATGGAGGATTGATGGCCCAGTGTCCATCGCGCTGTGATGATTGGTACCATATGCATTGAGTCTATGTTGCATTTGCATTTATGAGCCTTTGTGTATAAATTATGACGTTGTGGTCTTCGAGGCCTATTGAAGGATATGAATGTGTTGAATATGAATATGACGCTGTTTATGCATTAATTGTTATACATTGATTATTATGAATTGCTTTAGTCACCCTACCTATTTGAATGTTACCTCCACGTGGGTAACGTGCAGATGAGCAAGTTTAGCCGTGGACGCTGTCGAGGAGTCATTTTTGAAGTTTTGAGTTATTAGCTGATTTAGTTGCTTAGAGGGTCTTGCTCTAATATGTAATATCGAGTTGGGTTCTTTGAGTTGATTTTATATCAGTGGGTTATTTTACTTATTTTCTCTTTTGAGTGTTTTATGTTGTTTGATGTATTTTGAGGAAAACCCATAGTTACGGAGTATGGACCTATTTTGTTGACTTTGAGAAATGTACACCCTTTTTGTGACTTTTTATTGAGACTTATTTATTTACTCTGAAATCCGTGTTATTTTTCGTTAATAATTTTGGGGTAGAAAAGGGTATTACAATAACGAACACCATTTACCTATGACGAACGTCACATCAGTAACAAAGGCAGAAATGTTTTTTTGCTGCACTTTTGCTATTCTTTCTCTCTTTTTTCGAGTTGCTTTCGAATCCGCAACAGATGAACCTGATATCTGCAACACACAATAAAACAAAGTAAAAAGCAATAAGACTCGATAAAATACGGACAAATAATACGCACAATGAGCCTAAAAATATGATATGATTTCTCGTTATCAAACTCCCCATACTTAGACATTTGCTTGTCCTCGAGCAAACTCCCAACGCAAATGAAAAGCAGTAACCATAATGTCTGAAACATAGGCACGACATAGGTACGACATCACTTTAAAACGTACATGACTGTCAGGCTAATGTTAAACAAATAGGTACTAAATATCGATAACAAGGACACCGTAATGACACATTTTCGCATTTGCGGACGCGGACACCCCCTATGCAATACCAATTTAAATTATGCCATTATGACTCAACCTACTTTTTCACCTTTTTTTCATTCTCACGCGATCACATTAAATCTGTTATTCCCACACTCACATGGTAAGTGATTAAGTGAACTTGTTAGTATTTAATGACCTTCAATTTACGCTTTTCTTTTTTCTTTTTTTTTCTTTCGAATTTCAATAGGTCGCCATTATGACTCAACCTACTTTTTCACCTTTTTTTCATTCTCACGCGATCACATTAAATCTGTTATTCCCACACTCACATGGTAAGTGATTAAGTGAACTTGTTAGTATTTAATGACCTTCAATTTACGCTTTTCTTTTTTCTTTTTTTTTTCTTTCGAATTTCAATAGGTCGGGTGAAGACCACCTAACTTATAGAGAACACATCCTTTCATTCGTTTTTTCTATAAAATTAAAATTTTCGAGATCAAAAATATATTTGCATCAGTTCATACTCAATGTATGTCTTAGGATGGTGTGGCCGTTAGTATAAACTACTCGAGAGGCAATTACAAACTCATAATCTCTGATTAAATAAAAAGAGACCCCTTACCATCCCTTAAGAAAAGGGTCAAAAGGGTCACTCAATTAATATATATACTGAGATTTAAAAAAATTAATAATAAACCCACTTAGTTTTATTCAATTTTATTCGAGTACAACAACAAAACATGTAGTAGTGCCATGATTACTTATTATATGAGTCCTCTAGATACATTTATATGACCAAACAAACATAACACATCCATACGTAGCTAATTATAGAAACTACAAACCATTTTATTTATAGATGATGCTTATAGAGTAATTAAGCACACACACTCATGTCTTCAATTCAAGTGCGGCAAGAAGCACAAGTGCAGCTTGCATCACATCTGCAAGCACTTCCAGCAGCAACAGTCTTAGAACAGTTACATGGATTACACTGACAGTGTTCTCCACATGGACATGTCGAGTGATCACTTCTTGCACCACCCTCACTACTTGTGCACCTGTATTAATATTTCATTAAAAAGACTAGAACGGTTAATTAATATCAGACCAAGAAGAATAAGACGACTCAAACCTGCAAGTGGAACCACCAGCACAAGGAACAGTGCAGCCACACCTGTTATCACACACTACCAGCTTTCTTCCTGTGTCTGACATTATTTTCTTATTTCTCTTTGTGGAATGCTTCTTTGAGAGTTTTCAATGTTTCTTCATGCCTTATATATAACTCTTGATGGACTTGAAAACTAGTATATTAATTAAGAGTATATATGCCAAATGTCAAGTTAATGTAGTAAGTGGCAATAGTTTCAAATTCAAGTCCTCAGCTGAGTACCACGTAGAAAGTTTGGATAAGGACAGGTCTACTTGAAGTTTGCACAAGAATACTCATCAGTTTTAAAACGAAAGTTATTAAGGTTCTATACGTAAAATCATCTTATTAATTATTGGTGTGTTTCAAAATCATCTTTTTAAGGTATATTTTACTATCGGCTTGATTAGGGCATTCTTTAAAACAGGAACGTGGACTACCACACCTCAGAATAAATAGACTTACTTGCATAGTTAGATAAATTTTTTATTTGATTAAATAAATTTTTTATTTGTGAACTTCAACTAATTTATAAAGAGCCTCTAATAACTTAAACTAATTTTTATTTATTTATTTATTAATTTAATTGTAACTTTAATCCTTTTTTTTTATTTTTTTTTATTTTTAATCTCTTTATTTTAAAATTTAAAATTTTGATCTCTCAGTTTTCAATTTTTTATATTTTTGATTATTTTTTTAAAATTTAAAATTTTAGTCCCTATATTTTTAATTTTATTTTTATTTTCATTCTCCCTATAAAATAGTCTCCTTATTTTTTTTTATATTTTTAGTCTCTTTATTTTAAAATTTAGAAATTTGGTCTTTCAGTTTTCAATTTTTTATATTTTTGATTCTTTTTCTAAAATTTAAAATTTTAGTCCCTATATTTTTAATTTTTTTATTTTCATTCTCCCTATTTTAATAGTCTCCTTTTTAGTTGAGAAAGGAGAATAAAAATCTTTAAAAAATAAAAATATAGAGACTAAACTTTTAGATTTTAAAATGAAGAAATTAAAAGTCAAAAAAGAATAAAAATTCTAAATTTTAAAATAAAGAAATTAAAAGTAAAAATAATAATAAAAGTAAAAGAACCAAAATTACACCTAAACCTTATGAATTTCATAACGATTGAACCACAGCGATCTATACAAACCTTCCAAAAATTTCAACCAATCCAAATTAATATCGCATTGCGCATCTCTCCGACAATAAAAATTCCAATATATAGACAACAGTTGTAATGCTATATCAGCACTTGTATCAAATTTATATTTAAAATTTGAATATGAATCTAGCTTGTATGATCAAGTGTGTATTTGATTTCAAGTTTAGAGCATCCAAAGTTGATTTTAAATATATAAAATTGATTTTTGACATATTTAATTTTTCTTAGTAAAATTAGCTTTTTAAAATGATTTTACTTGAATACATGATTCTTAGCTTATTTAAAACGTAAATTTTATATGAATTTTCTAATTCAATCCAGTTTTTAAAAAAATTACCCAAACATAAATTATTTTAAATTTAATTCACACTTAAAAAAATTTATCCAAGTACCTTACTTTTTCAAAAAATTTTTTCAAAATAACTCAATTTTTAAACTATTTATTAGTGCAAAAAGAGGAATTCATTCTCGTATTTTATACATTATACACCCGTTATTAGAGAATGTAAATTAAAAGAGTGAAAAATGTCTAACGAATTTACATTCTATTTGATAAAAATCGAATGTAAAATGAATAATGTTTATTATGAATGTCATCAAATTTATCCCTAATTTTTATAAAATAGGGTGTAAAAATCTGATATATTCCACTCTATTTTAGTTATAACAGATGTAAAATATTTGATAATTATATTATATTTAATTTTATTTGCATCCGATTTTTTTTACACCTTATTTCATTCAACCAAATATTTTTGTATATTACTTCTAAGGAGTACAATAGTCACTTGTTAAGGAACATAATGTACGCATGATTTCTCTCAATTTTAAGAGAAAAACAACAATTACATCATTTTCAATGAACATGCACATCAACTTCAAGCAAATACATAATAGAAATTTCAGGCTTTTAGCTACAACACATAAAATTGCAAAATGTGCAACCCGTGCAGAATCCCAAACAAACAATACACAACCTCGTCAATAATATTATTGAATGTCAAGATACACTTATACTATGAAAATAAGAGCTAATACAAAACTAAACTAAACACAAAAAATTAATTAAAAATATATAATAGTTGTTAGTTATACAATAAATGTAAGTATATCTTATGAATCAATTTATGTCATACCCCACAACATTGTCCCAAAACATATGGCACACGTCAAATTTTGTATGCTACTCATTAAAAAAGGTTTACATATGTTGTCGAGAGCTGATTGGAATACAACATACAATAAAATTGAATAAATAGTTCAACTAAAAATGACAATTAAAACTTGTGTAGCCAAATCACTAATAGTAAGGTGTAGTATTCTAAATTTTGCCCGATTTTATTAGGTTCATTTCGCACGCCATCCCATTCTGCATGGCATTTTAACTAACTGCTAACCGGTTTGTTCAGTCTGTTGCTGTTGCAGGAAAAATCACACTGCACACTCGTCTCCGAGTCATGGGATTTATTTGATGATGAGCGGGATTTTACTGCAGTTTCGACATTAAATTCGTACGAAGATTTGATTTGAAGAATTTATTGGGACATATGTTGTTTTCCTGCTTTCTGCTAGTCGACGGTCGTTTTAAAGGAACAATGGAGTTTCAGATAAATCTCGTTGAAGGAATTTAATCAGTTTGATTTGCCTGAATGGATTTAATCGGAAGATTTTTGTCATTTGAATTTAATTGAACAGATTGGATTTAATCAAATTGAATTTACTTGGATGAAGTTGAATTGGAATATTTTAGTCATTTGCGGTTAATCGACCAAGATTGGATTTATTCAGATGAGATTATTCATTCAAGTTACCGGAAGAGTTATTCGAGAATTTTATCGGAGATGAGATTTAATCGAATGAATTGGATTGAGAATTTCGAATTAATAAAAAATAGAATTTTTATTTTGTTATTTTAGTTGCCATATCCAAATAATGAAATATAATTTTATTTATAGATTTATTTCATTATAAGTCCAAAAAATGAATAAATTTATTTCATTATAATATCCAAAAAAAATTAATAGATTTATTTCATTACAATTTCAAAAAATGAATAAATTTATAAATTACATTTTCTTTTTCTAAAATCTTAAATTCCTAAAAAATTTTAATTTGTCCTAAAATGTCCTTCACTTCCGATTTCTTCGAGTCTCCGATTTTTTGTTTCTTCGAACCTGCAAGTCAACAACAAACAGACAAGTTTTAACAGTTAGGATTAGAAGTGGTTTTATTGGTTCCGATACCCTCAGAAAATGTTCATCATTGGGTACGTCGGGAGGGTAACGGAATACTCTGTCGTCAACTCCCAACTTATTTCCAATCTCGGGCTAAAATCGGCAATAATCTGTTATCCAACCAAGAGAGAGAGAGAAAAAAGTGATTCCTGAAAAGTGCTTTTGGGAAAAGTGCTACACCCGGACTTGAGTGACATTATTATAGGAAGGTGATATATTCGACGAGGCTTATAGGGAGTGAGTCCCGACCAAGCTGACTTAAGAATCACCGCTCAATTGAGACCCTTTCGAAAATAGTTCGGTTGAACGAGTAGTCGTGAAAACTTTTACTATTGTCAATTGGAGTCTGTGATACTGGGGACCGTAGTACCTTAACACCACTTTGGCCTTATATAGGACGTAGTGCGAGGACTATAAGGGAGTAGTCCCAAAATAGTTGCTACGCGATACTACACTCAAAAGAGGTTCTCTTGAGAATATTATTAATCACCGAGTCAGTCGGGAAATTGATAATATTCAAAAGATGGACTGATGACTTTGGGCACTTCTTTATAACCTTGTACTACAGGTACAACTATCCTATAGTACATACCTTTTGGGATGGGTAGACCTTGATCTCGCTCATTACACCTTTAACCTAGGACCTTTTGTTGTTTGTGTGTATTTGTGCATGACATTCGTAAAACATCATTTCTAGTTTCAAGGAATTCAACTGTCCTTTGCAAATTCAAAAAGTCTTACACTTTAAAGTCTAAAACATTTTCCAACTTTCCTAAAAAATGTTTGCAATCGACCGTTGAAATTCTTGAGACCATTGCATGGCATTAGCATTATATTTTTGCATTGCATTTCCCTCCGGTCTCTCATGTCCAGTTGTCTTTATCTTCCAGTGTTCCTTTGAGTCGTCAAGCTGATTCCTCGACACAGATATCAGACTAGAGCTAACTATAGACTCCTGATGTCAGAACAAGAGGAACATAATGCAGAAGTCCGAATGGAGATCGATGAGTTGAAAGCAGGCATGACTAGGCTTACTGAGATGCTTCAAGTACTGATTAACTGAGGAGAGCCACCTCAGAGGACCGTCATTCAGGAAATTTCAAGTGTTGATCCACCTCCTGTTTCACTTCCGCCCTCTACTTGGCCGGAGTTTGGTTTACCTCATAACTACTCTCCACCTATTGCGTCTACTTCTACGATTGGTCAGACTGTCAGACCGATTTTTCAAGCTCCTGTTGTAACAGCCCAATTTTTATTAATTAATTATTTATATTAATTAAATGATATGTGGGGATTGCTTAATTGATGGATGATTAATTAAATGAAATTGGTAGATGTTGAGAAGAGAAATATGATGGAAAGAATAGAAGAGAAAGACTTATAAAGGAAACATAAGAGAAAGAATAGAGAAAGAAGGAGAAAGAGGAGAAAAGAGAAGGAGGAGAAGGAAAAGTTGGAAAAGCTCAAGAACAACTCTCAAGCATCGATTTAACCAAGGTAAGGGTGTTAAATGTTGTTATTCTATCAATGTCTATGATTATGTATGCTTGGGTTAGATTGTTAGATGTTTTTCTATAACTTCCATTTTAGGGCAAAAGTGGATTTAATCGATAGAAACCGAGTTTTAACGGTCAAAAATGAGAATAAGTGGTATAATTATGGAACT